AAGATTTAGAATAATTACACTGTGCAAAGGAAACGCTCCCTCCCACTGACACGAATATTCAAGCATCTATACGTCCTTCCCACTAACAACTGTTACACGTTCATTGTTTTACTTGTTCAATTCTAAATGGCGACTCAAAAGAGTTKTTTTGATCTTTCTAGATATTCAAGGAAGTGACCAGACTGCATGTTAATAAATTTCCTTTAGCGGTGAGTACGTCAAGATTGTCGTGAAGTTTCTCACAATATTCCTTTGATAGACATAAATCATTATGTTAGCATTTTCCTCGATTGTACATTAAGATTCCAAGTACAAAAGGAAGTCTTAYAAGCTCTTATACGAAGAGATCCTCAGAACTGGGAAAAAGAACAGTGTACTTTTTCAAATATCTTACGTTTGAAGAGGCTGCAGTCCTCGCAGGGTCGATATCCAAGCTGAACACAGAACACACASTGCCACTTGTATTTTCGGTGACGAGTGCACCATCCATTAATACGTTTACATCATAGTCAGTGCTAATACAGTGCTAACGGACAAAGGAGGACCCATTGTGACGTATTATTGGCGCGCGCTTGATTAGAAAGCTTAAAAGRGCTCTCACTCATTGTAAACGTAATTTCTAGAATTTAAAAAGACGCAATTACGACGGATAACACAGAGGTATTTTTAAACTCATTAAAGACGTCGAAGCAAACACATTTCGCTGAGGAAATCATTCTAGACAAATGCATTTGCTGGAGATAAAGGTCTCACAAAAGCATAGTTATTTTTGCGACTAGAAACACGTGTGTGTTCAAATTATTATGCAACGTTTAACACGCTTTGGACATTATGTAACTCAGTTCTTTAACATCTAGATTTGTTTTATCCATGAAATCTGTTTTGTCAGAAACTTTCCTTCCGGATATGKTGAGACATCAGGAGCGAAGAACGTCTTTCTTGTTATGTTTATCGGACTGCGTGAGGTCTGAATGAGCAATTGCACGAATTTYATTTTACAAAAATAAAACTAACCATTTATTTTTCCATTCAATCGTATTCTATCCATCCATCAAGCCATTATTTATTCAGTCACCCATCGTTCATGTATTCATTCATGTATTCATTACAAGGTTCTTATAATCAGTTACGCATATAACCGTAAACCGATAAAACGARCCATCCATCCATCCATCCACTAATACATTCTGTTATTCAATTCTTTCATTCGTTTATTCATTTCTTGGSRTTCTTTTCGTGAAGTRTCAAGACAAGTGGCAGGAATCTTATGATGCTAATTCTTTCGATRCCTTGCCAATGCATTGCTCAATTGCTAGGCTCATCATCGTTTAACCAGAAAATTGTTTGATTTAAAGTTGTTGTATTTTTTCTTGCAACTGAWACACAAATATTCACAAAAGAATACATTTTCATCCTTCTGTAGTTATGTAATAGGCATACGAAAACAATGGAGCTTATTTCATCTTGACTCAAATCTTTTACAATGGCTATATTTCTGACAAGATCTAGTGGTTTTAAAGTGATTCTTAATTGCTTATTGGGCGAGTCTTTGGATTTGATGTTGTTATGGAAACATGATGGACCAAACATCTGTTCACGATTCATTTTTCCATTTTTTTATCACAAGAAATCAAATAGAATGAATTTTCACTTTCAACTTGAACTCGATAAGATGTATTTAACAGGTGTGTTAAGTTTAGTTCTGGTATAAAATAACTAATGGCTTGACTTCGAATCACACGAATTCAGCTGTTTATCCTCCTACTGAGAGATAAAAGAGAGATTGTCGAGACTTCCTCTCTGCGAGAACAATACATCAAACTAGCACAGTGGCATGCCTCACTAGAATCGCTAGATTCTTGCCAAAAAAAATGTCACAAAATGACCGGTTTATTATTGTATAGTCGATACAAATGACCAATAATCTAAAGTAATACAAAGTCATTATTTATCTAAAGTTTACCCAAGACTTTTGAAATCATTTGTGTCATTTGATTAATTCACCCACGTGATACSTCATTAAGTATTTGGTTCCTTACAGGGAAACAGAAGAGTCAGTGTGGACATCAAAAKCCGATGAAACGGTCSAGCGAGACATCTAAATTTTGTCTCTCTGTTTTGTGTTCCTTTGATATTCTAGTAGCYCKCGCAGTTTTATATTCAATTCACATTTCAAAGTTCTGTCCTCGATTAGACAGGTGATGATGGCTTTGACTCATTAGAGAGCTCTCTTAAATTAAGAAGAATTCTTAAGCCACCAACCAATCAGCGATAAAYAGCGTTTATACGAACCGACCATGTCATAGCCGGAGTATATGTTATTGCAACAACGTTCACGGAACCAAATCGYSAGCGAGCTAGATTGAAACTAGCAAAACATGTCCGCAAATAACTCAAGTAACACCGATGCGAGTCAACACAATCCGTGGGAYGATGCAATATGGATTCTTACTTGTTCTTTTATAATTTTCACGATGCAGTCAGGTTTTGGTCTTCTTGAGTCTGGTATGGTCTCAAGGAAGCACGAAATTAACATTCTTGTCAAGAATATTGCAGATGTTTTRTTCGGAGGGCTAGCGTTTTGGATGTTCGGCTACGCGTTTAGTTTTGGCAACAAACCRGGCGCYAACATGTTTATAGGTTTTGGGGATTTTTTCGTCGATGCGGATGGCGATGAAATGGGATGGGTATACTCTAGATTCTTTTTCCAAGCTTCGTTTTCCACAACTGCGACTACAATAGTATCGGGATCGATGGCAGAACGAGTTAAACTTGAGGCTTACTGCCTTTTTTCTTTCCTAAATACAATTATTTTCTGTATGCCGGCTCAYTGGCTGTGGTCAGAGGTTGGCTGGCTGCGGGCGATCGGTGCGTATGATGCAGCGGGAGCCTGTACTGTTCATCTTGTTGGAGGTGTCACGGGMCTTGTCGCCACCATGATCCTTAAGCCACGGTCCGGGCGTTTTGAGGATGATGATGCTGATTTGGGACAAATGGGGGCTCCTTCTACTGCTATTCTTGGACTCTTCATGCTTTGGTGGGGCTGGCTTGCKTTAAACTGCGGAAGCACATTCGGTGTCACWGATGGAAAGTGGAAGATCGCTGCCAGGTAAGTTAAAGATAACTTTTATTGCACTATTATAAATCGTGGTGTTTAATCATGTAATAAAAAGGCTGAAAAACTAATCATTGATTTTTTAACTCAATCAGTGAAATTTTTGCTGTCGAAAATTTATGTTTTAATTRATCGGTCATGTCTTTTTAACCTCTCTTAACATTAATTTCTATTTATAGAGAAAACCTGCCAATGTTTTTAACTCAGTATTTTTTTGAACAGAAAGACGGAAGACAGTTATTAGAAAATTTTAAGTTTATTATATTATTATTCGATTGAGATTAATTCCATATCTCATAATATAATCTGTTTTTCTGGTTGAAAGATTTTGATATATTTTATCTTTCCCGCGGGCATATCGACTATCGTACACAACATGTGAAGAAGACATTTTCCCGTTAAGCAACGGTTTTCTTCTATCATAAATGCTCAATACTTCCTGATGCTTTGAGTTCGCATTAATATATTCTCATTTCAGAAGTTTTTTTATTATCAGGATAATCATTTCGTTTTTCGAGGGAAACTCGTTTTGGTCGTCCACTAGGAGTGTCTTTAAATTTTTCTTGAAGCGTACTCGAAAACTTAAAAAATGAGTGTAATTTCAAAACGTCTAGCAGGCGTAATTTTGCTTGAGCAATAACTATCAACTGTGCTTTAAATCACACACAATTTACGTAAACCGAAATGTGTGTATGAAGTTTGGCGCAAAATAGTATTACTGAGTCGTTTGCAAAGCGTCGTTTGTTGATTGCAATGATTCTTGTTGAAAGCGCTCAGCATTTAAGAGTAGTTTTGAGTGTTTTTGAGCGAGAAAGAGAGTGAAAACTAAACTCAATTCACATGGATCACACTACTTCAAACCGTTGCTAGCACTACATTGTCTGCCTCTCAGTTCCGGATTTTATTCAAGTCATCCGAGTTCCTAACTGTTGGTTTCAAAAATTAAGTTTTCGCGATGGGAATCAATCATGGTTTCGATAAAACTGAAGGTTTTCGATTGCACTGAAAAACAATGTCCAAAAGCTTTGCATATAAAGAAATGTCTCCAGAACGTAGAAGTTTGTCAAACCGAATTTGCTTCTTACGGACAAATTTGCACACTTTTTTGCGTTTATTTCGTGTTATTTTCCTTTCCTGTGGTGATRATACTACAAAAACGTTACGACTGAAAGCGAAACATTGTAGATGAGGCCCAAGTTGTTATTGAAAACGAAGGAAAAGAAATACATAAATTAGCACTGTCGTCTATAGACATACAGCGCACATTCGGTGTGTTTCCTGGCCACTTTTGAACAGCACTAAATTGGCTTTTTTTAATATACATTTTTATGTACATTTAACGTGCTAAACACGCAGGTTTGCGCTTCAAAATTTCGTTGCCTTACGTATATATCCTACCGCTTTTTTTCGGATATTTGTTTTGTTTTTCTGCCTTGATGGCTGTTAATTCACTCAAAAATTAACTGCGTCATAARGAAAATTGCTTATCAAATTAGCAAGTGCTCATTTTGACGAAATATATTTAGATAAAGATTGCGGTTAAAGAACTGTTTTTCCTGGCGTAAAAAAGGATTTTCGTCTGAGGTTTTCAGGGATTTTCATGGCATGTTTTCTATCGTTGCTTTAATTTAAATATTTCTCAAGCTTCAGATGCCATTCTGACACAATCACAATCTCCTATAGTTCTAACCGATGTGAGTCTTTGCATACTATATCTAATCTGATTGGTCCAAAACACACAGATAATTCTTAAAATCTGAATGGCAGGTTCCGCAGATTAAAAGCAGTTCCTAAATTATTAACGATATCTTCAGTGTTCAACTCTATCCAACATTTTTTTATAATTAACTTCGTCARTAATGTGTTACCAGCAAAGACAAACACAATCTTCCTGAGTTTTCATATTTCTATAAATTTTCAGGACATATTATGTCGAGGATATTTGTTCGGACCCTTGTGCCATTAATTAAATAAAGTACTATCAGGGTTTTTTTGTTATTGACCTCTATCTCATTTATAAATGTCAATATTACGTTTTTTCTTGATAAAGCAATGTTTACTTACGGTATTATGTCTTGAGTGAAAACGAAAGAATATATTCGGACTTTGATTCAAAAAGATTTGAAAGAAACATAAAGAAAACAAGATGGCGGACCTCACGACGRATTGCACTTCCTTGAAGTTCTTTTGTTCTCTATTATRTCTTCCCAATTGTTAATCTTTTTTGTTAATTAGATAATTTAACACAACCTGACCAAAATTAACACCAAATTTTTAGATTACAGTTTTTACCATAATAATTAAAACAAGGAGAAACAAACGTTTTTGTTTCAGTGTTGCTTTATTGGTTTTCAGATCACTGAATTTCTTTATCAAAAAGTGATGAGCCGAGAGGAAAGCACATAGAAAAGCTTCAAGTACACGCCAAAATACAATCAAGAGTTTAAAAATCATGTTTTAGCTTTTTTATTTTACCAGCTCTCAAAGCAACAACAAACAATTCTATGATCGAAATGTGTTTTCGACTCACGTTTTGCTTCTCAATTTTCTCAGGTATCATTAT